AAATGGCGCGTAATTAATTAAGATGGCTAGCAAATAAGTAACTAAGTAATTAACTGGACATCCAGTGATTTTCATGATTTTTTGAGCATCGACGTTCGTTATTATGACATTTTAGGCAGCATAGGTTTCAGGTCTTTCGATTAGACAGAGCTCTTCATATGTTATGCATATAATTTCCATGAAGATATGTATGTTTGTCTGTCAGGTAAGGTAAGCCGCAATATCATAACAGCGATTCTTTTAGCTTTCATTCATATTTTGCATGGAGAGTGTGAATGTGGTTCAGCGTTTTTTCGTTCCTTTGCTGGATAGATGAAGTCTTAGACGTCCACCTATCGGCCTATATTTGATATATCCGCGCTGTAGTCGCCCTCACTTACTTTTTTACCACTAATCAATGGATATCGCTCAGTGGCTCAGTTGCAGTTGACATGCTTGGTGTAGGGGTGAAGTTGACACTAGGGCAATGGGTCAGCATGTTTGCAGGGTTCGAACGTTGGGTTCAAACTTCATTCGCGGCATTAATTTTAATGACTTATTCCCTCGAGCATGGAATCCTCTTTACACTCATTCAACGTGGCCAGTGGAAAAACGGGCAGTAAGTCATTTGATCTGCTAATGACATGGGCAGCATGGTGAATTACAGACGTAAAAGGCATTCACATCAAATAGCATAGCCATGCTTCTCGCGAAGCCTCATGTGACTGCATCAGAACAGAATGCTGTCCATATTGTTCACAAGTCAAATATTTGCTAGCCGTTTTTCGGTTGATTATCCGAAAATAAGGCATTTAGCGATTAAGATGATTTTTAAGAAATTGAATCCGGCTCATCCTGAAGCCAATCCCTTGTCCCTGTGCCACTGACCCCCCTCCCCCACCATTGAAGCGGCTGAAATTCGACTTAGTCCGCCAAATGACTGACTTAAGATTAACCGATGGTGTAAACCTTAAACAAAAGGAGTAAATACAAAAATCTAGTCCAGAAAAAACTCACGGAGCTTAAACCTAAGAAGAAGGGATTTGTTAATTCGCTCTTGATTATGAGGCGCAAATTTTCTTTCGCCCTTTCGTACTGGACGCCGATGAATGTCAGTTTCAATGGGAATTTCAATGAGCACAGACAAGTATGGCAATTGAGTGACAACTCATATCTGCGCGGAAGTGATGAGTCATATGAACACCAGCAATTAAACTCTAGCAATGCCAAAATGCCAAAATGAGTGAAGTAGCTGCAGCAAGGCTGAAGAAAATACATTTCTGTTCGCACCGGCAACGTTTTCTAGTTCTTTCACTATCGTTGAGCCTTCCATTGTTCCTCATTAATCCAGTTCCTGAAAAACTATCATAGAAAAAGTTTATACCCTACGATATTCTAAAGTATGGTATTAAAATTATCTTTTTTATTGTTTTTGGTTACCATAGCTTTCTGACTATGCGGAATTGACTTAAATAAATGCTGGTATTCATCGGCAGTGCATGAAAGGAGATGCTACAGAAAATAGCAAAACAAATGTGGTACTCCTTTCAGACGGAGGATGATGACGTGAATGTAAACCACCTATTAGCTTTTGAGAAATTGTAGGTTTTGGCAGTCCAAGCAAAGAAAGGCATGTTTTTCTCAGGCTATATTGATACAATTCATCAGTCATTGGCTGGATCTCTTGCTCTCCTTTTCCACTAGCCTCATTCCCCGTTCAGAAGCTACTGTGAAAGAATTCACTATTATTCGAAAGG